CCCAAACAAGACCCGCATTAGCCTGGGTGCCATTCCGAACTTAGTCCCGCCCACAACGTTTCAGGTCGGGAATTTCGTTCTGGCATTGCTCAATAGTAGCGCGAGTATGCTCGCACAATATCTGGCGGGCCAATCAAATTGTCAGGGCGGGCTTTATACGATGATGGACAGATGATCAACAGTAACGTAATCAACCATGTCACCAAAGCGTGCTTGGGTGACAACAACAATGGCTGCCGCTGGAGAGTTGGGCTGAGTAGATTCTGCTATTAGGTCTGTTCTAGCAGATATCGACAGCAAATTAGTTTTAAAAGAGGAAAAGAGAAATGCAATCAAGGCTCATCTTCTTATTCTAGGCGTGAAACTGCACACTTTGATTTTTGTTGACAACAACTGTGCCTGGCTTAACATACGTCACGCACTCCAATTCTCTTATTGAACCAAAATCGACTCTTTTTTTCAGAGCTTCTGGGGCTTTTCCAAAAAAAAAAATGGTTTCCCAAGGCGATTTAAAAGTTGATCATGAAGAAAAATTTTGCAACAGGTTGTGATGTTAAGTTTCACCTGTGCTTTTATTGTGAAATGCCGACAACAAGACCTTGACAGGTAATGAGATGGGGTTGCCGGGGGTAACAGCAGCTGAGGGTCTGGAAGGCTGGTGATTTACTATATATTAAACAATCTTTCCAGCCACTAAAAAAGATAAACATGCCCACTATTATACTCAATGCCAGCACAGGAAGGACATGTGATGTCATGCAATAACATATCAGGAAACAAGGAAACAACTAAACATCTGCTGGGATGGTGACGTCATCAGTCGTATTAAAAATAATTCATCTTAAAAACCAAATCAGCACAAATAACACTTTTACCTGCATATATGAAGTAGCACTGAAAAAGTAGGCTACGTTATATAAATTTGATTCAATTGAAATCTAAATAGGGGAATATTTGATTACTGGGTGACCTAAAAAATTATCTTTACTATCTCTGAAACAACAGCAGCACATTTGATCTTTTTTTTTTTTTTTTTACATATTACCATTTCAAATGCACAAAGCTGCACTAATGAAGCAATAATCACTTAGCCTGTTAGTTGAGTTTTTTTTTTTTTTTTTTACATCAGTGGCATCTGTAACACACTTAATCTGAAATGCAGAGCGTTGAACTACTGCGGGGTTCGTGGAAATAAATCCCTCACTCTGAATAATCGTAAATGAAAGAAAAGAGTAAATATTTACCAAAACGATTTTTTTCAGGTTAATTTCACAAATTTACAAGAAAAAAATTGACATTTTCTGATAAGAAAAAAGTTAATTTACAAAATTTTCCCTTTTTTTTTTTTTTAGAAAATCTGAAAAACTTATTTCAAAATGTCAGAACTTTGGGTCAGGAAAGTATTTCTACTTTATAAGGTCATGTTTTTTTTTTCCCTAAAAACTTCAAAAGAACCAACTTCAATATCTGCAAAACTGGTTGCCATTTTTTTCTCACAGTTGCAAAATTTTAAGTCTAAAGTCTTTTCTAGAACGATGCTTCGGGACACAGAGATGTTCCTGTCCCTCCCCTGTAGTTGGTATCCTTGGAAACCAAGGGTTCATAACTTCCCGACAACTATGACGCAAATGACACAAGAATGTTTCCACAGATTATTTACACTGCAAAAAAAGAAATCTAAAGTCATTTTTTCTCAAATTAAGTGCATTATTTCTTGAATTGAGGAGGTAAATGGGACACTTTGCCAATGGAACAAGACTATTTAAATTTAAAACAAGACTAAACAATTGATTTTTTTATATTAAGTGCATATTATCTAAGTATCTTTAGGAGGAAAAACACTCATTCCATTTGCAACTGATATTAGGGTAAATACACTTAAATTAAGACATTTTTATTTATTTTTAGGTTGTTTTTTTTTTTGCTGTGTAGGTGGTAGCCATGGTTACCTTACCAATGGTTGTCACCGGTTTAGCATATGCAGCACCAAAGATCAAAGGCTCTGTCATGGGCAGGAGGAGGCCTTCAATTAATTTAAGCACCTTTATTTGATCAGACTTCTTTTATTTGTTAAAGTGTACCAAATTATGCTTCAATTGATTCATTCCAAATATACTAAAGATGTTGATAAATGAAATCTAATACAGCTGCTAGGTTTTAAAAAAAAGGTTTTATTGTATTTATTTAGAAAAAATCTTTAAGCAGACTAAATTTTTTATCTTTTTTTTTTTTTTTTGCTTAATTCCAAACCAGACATGATCCTGGTTCCAGTGGAATAAAACTTACCTTAACACTAAATATAATAAAAGTTTATATTTAGACAAAAATTGTGGATCCACACCTGATTATTGTAGTGATAATTTCAGGTGGAAATTGCTTTTTAAACCTTTAGAGCTTAACAGGTTATAGCAATGGATCCCAAACTGGAGGGTTGCGCCCCCCTAGGGGTGAAGTAATGTAATTGCATGGGGATAGGTTGTAATGAACAAAATAATTAACACAGGTTGAAATGATTCTAGTTATTTAGTCATTGAAATGTTGAACTCTGTTACACCGTAGAATACACAGTTAAATCTAAAATAATTACACTTTATAGGTAGAAATTTAGCTTTTAAAGGAGATATTTTAGATATTGCAATATTTACTTTACTGCTGTTGATTTTTCATTGTAAAAAGTTTAATTTGAATCCTTCAGAAAAAAATACTTTACTTCAAAATAGGCTTCTGTATGTTTGTTATAAAGTCTATTTCTGAGGCAGATCGACAGACAGCAGCTGCTTTAAGGAAAGAGCACAAATATTTATGACCAACTGTAAAATGTCACAGTCT